ACCTCAACTTCCATGTTCCCCACTTCCTTTCATTTACACTCATGGCGCCATGGCCTCCATGGCGGGCACCACCTTTGGACGATGTTTCCCCCCCAAAAAAGAGTTGGGGGGCATTCCTGTGATTTCCCGCATTCTTCATCCTCTATAAATAGAAGTTCCTGATTTCATTTCAATTCACCCAAGCTTAGTTGCAAACTTGATCCAACCATAGTTGCGAACTTAAGCCATATAATTTCACCATTGTAAAGCGATAATTCTTCACATTGGGGAATTATTGCACTGTTGATTGAGTCTATGATCGAGTTTGTAATTGAGTTTGGAGCACTTCGGCAAAAGTTTATCCTGCCACATTTATTTTCAACTGCTGTTTATTTCCAGTCGCATTTTACTTCCAGTTTATACCAGATTTAAAACCTCCCCGTTTGGAGCAGGTTTCTATTTATATTTCCCGCACCTGCTTTTACTTTATTTATTTCCCGCACCTGTTTTTACTTTGTTTATTTCCCGCACCTGCTTTTACTTTGTCTATTTTCCGCACTGCTTTTACTTTTTTTATTTCCCACACCTACTTTTACTTTGTTTATTTTCTGTACTGCTTTTACTTTGTTTATTTCGCGCACCGCACTTTAAATTATTTACTTTCTCGCATGATTTATTTTAATATGTCTGTTTACACTCCCATGTCAGGCTGAACCTTACTGGGCTAGAATGTAAGGAATCTAGTTAGATCGATATTCCAAATAATGTGTCAATAGAAATGCTTATGGGCTATTTTGGTTTTTAATACGAGTTTTCTGTACTTTATTGTTGTTGGGTAAGATCGAAAGCCGTCCAACCCTTTGTTAAACTCGGTTAGTTCTAACTGGTCAAAGGAAGCGAAAACGCTTTGTCCGGTTAGTTAGGTATTTTTATTATCAAAGAAATCAATTTTGAAACTATTTTAGGACGCGTTTATAGGGTTAAAGTTAGGTCCCCTTTTTATTAGAAATTCCATATCAAAATACTTTTTAACTTGGTCAAGTACTTTATTTCTTAAAAATAGGTTTATTACTTTAACGCAATGCACACCTTTTTTATAAGTGATGATAAGAAGGTCTAATTAGAGAGTAAACTAGGTTCTGATTACGCGAAAGCGATAGCTCCTGTTAAATTAGTTCTTTTCTTTAGTACAAAAATTTCCCTATAAGTAGTTCTATTCCGAAGCATTGCGAATATCATCTGACTATGTGAATCACATTCGACCCTGCTTTTATATCGGAAGTTTATTTATCTGCACTTTACTTTCTTGCATGCTCAATTCCCTGTTTAATATTGACTTAGCTAAACACCGTAACAATAGGAAATGATAGATTGACGATTGGTCTTTGTGGATCGATAATCTTTTATATTACTCTGACGCGATTCGTACACTTGCGAATACACCGTATCGGTTAGGCCCAATATGATTAATAAAATAAGGTTAAGTTGATATAAGAATTAGGTTAATTAGAAAAAAAATAAGAAAGTCTTGGTGTGTTGGTCGTGAGAAGTTGCAGAGAAAAGGAATAAGGAGAAGAGGCAAGGCAATGCTTTCGGTCAGAGAGTTTTAGAGCGACCTTCAATCCAAGGTAAGGGTGGGGTTCTGACTATATATTGGGGCTTATGATGAATATTATATAGGAATTGGTCGTGTGTATAACTGTTGTGCGTATGATTTCTGGATCTGTTCTTGAAATTTCCCGTTTTCATGTTGTGGTCGTTATGAATTTTCTGCATAACTGCCCTATACAAATTGATGAATCTGTTAGTAGGAGATATAGTTGCCCCACTGCTATGTTATTCCATGCGGTGGTTGGAAATTAGTCATCAAGGAGAATATTGAAAGATTGGGTTAATGTTCGTCACAAACTAGATGAAGTTTGTGCAAAAATATTGAAGACGCATCGTGCCGAGGAGCACGTGTATTTGCATCGAGCGGCATAAGACTGTAAGGTGTGCCGAGGAGCACTAGTGCTAGGTGTCGAGCGGCACAAGGCTGCAAGGTGTACCGAGGAGCACATATACTTGTGTTGAGCAGCACAAGGCTACATGATGTGTCGAGGGGCATGGTGTGTGTCGGTCGGTATAAAGGCATAAAGGGAGGTGCCGAGCGGCATGGCCACTGTGTCGAGAGGCACATGTATTTATTAATTCTTTTTTGTTGTTCTTGTGCATGTTGAGGGGCACATAATCCTTTCTTATTCCTTAGCGCTCCTGTGCAGGCTAATTTGTTAATTATTTTTGTGTAATATTCTCAGTATAATAATTAGAGTTCTTAAGGTATTCTATCCCTAAATGATTAATGGATTACTAGTAAATATAAGTTAGTACCAGGAGAGATAATATAATTAATAAGTGACTAGCAGTAAACTGTATGAAATTGGAGATAGTAGTACAAAACTGAAAACATTAGTATTTTAGCATAAAACTACCTAGCCGGATATAGTCGAATTGCCAAATGATTATGCAGGATGTCGTAGTATATCTTGGTTGATACGGTGTATTGTATACTTGTTATAATTTGAGAATTTGCAGGTGATGATGAATTTTGTTGAGATACCTCTAATTATTGGCATATATTAAGTTGTAGGCTTATGGATAATGTCGAATTGTGTTGAGTTGTTGTTGAATTATTGTTGTTGTTACTACATTCATGTTGTTGTCACATACATAGCACATCAAGTTTAGAGCTCGTGCTCGGCAAGTTGGCCTGGATTGGTAAATATAAAGTTGAAGGCTTATGCCTTGTTAATGCCTCTATTAACTGACAGATTATTAAGTTGGGAGTTTTGCTCCGTTGGTACCACATGCATGTGCATAAAAACAAGTCGCGTTTCATGTTGCATCCTGAGTTGTGTGTGGGTGAATTGATTGTGTTAAATATTGTTAAAGAGCTGCAAAGTGGTGATTTTGTATGAACTGATTCTATTATATTATTTATCATGAATTCTATTATATTGTTCGATAACTCACCCTTTCTGTTTGAATTTTACCCCTATGTTGGTAACGTGCAGGTAATCCAGAGCGAAGGCTATTTACCTTCAGTAATTCGAGTCGGTGTCGTCGCTCTGATACGTAACACTCGGGGGATGAATGCTTGTTGCTTTATTATTGTGATTACTTCTGTTTCTGAATTTTAAATTGATTTACTAAGTACTTTGTTGTTTTTGAAGTTGTTTTCAGTTAGACAAAGAAGTTATGTCATCTGAATTAAAACTTGTGATTCCGCTGCTTATTTATAAAAGCTGTTTTATTCTAAAGACTAAATTATATGGTTAACAGTTCATCCGAGTTTAAGTGTTATGTATCTATTTTACATGCGATTAACTGAAGGTGTTTTTAAGTAGTAAGTGTAGCATCCTATTTATATATCGAAATTTTGTAACTCTGATTTAATATTATTTGCAGGGTAGAAATGGGATGTTACATATAGCACATGCTATAAAATAGAGTCATCCATTCAGATGTGTTGCATACCCAAAATAAGATGCATTATATTGATACACTGTCAGTTGTAGAAGAGACTAATTCTCAAGCGAGAAAAAAAATTATGTTTGGTGAGATGAGGGAGTTATCTTTTAGTTTGTCTTTATTGCTCTTTCAAATATTTGACTTGATCATCCCATTTAATTTATTTTGTAATACAATATTTCATGATTTTAATTATATCATTAACATATATTATCCATTCTCAGATCTGTGGTGACCGGGTTAGGGACCAAATTTTGCTTTGGCATCTCTAAGAACTGTGCCTGGCCAAGGTTTGACTCCCTTTCCCTTCCCCATGTGAAAACATAGTTCAAGCCCCATATATTCGATGCTAGCTACTTAAAAGGGGGTGTGACAACTACAACTTCATTTTCCTTGTTAATCATACACCTTGTTCTACATTTAGGAAAGATAACCACATAATTTAATAAAGGTTATTACATTTTTTATATCAAAAATATTAAATTAGATATTCCTTCCCAACTCGAGAGATGAATCAACTAAGATTAGCAGCATTCCATGTCCTCAAGATTGATTCTTTGGTTAGGATCTCCATAGTGTAAGATACGTTTCTTGTGATAGCCTTGATCTTGTATGATCATATCCAGTTAGATGCAAGCTTTCAGTATTCAACATTCTTTCCTAAGTCCATTTCTTCTTTGATGGCTATTATGTTATCTTCTTAGGGCATCAAGTTCATCGTCTTCCAACCAAGCTTTCCTAATTCGACAAGCACGACAACTTTTGTTCCATACGTAAGTATAAAGGGGCTTTCGCCTATCATTGAAGAAGGTGTGGTTTTATATGTCCAGAGAATATGAGAGAGTTCATACGCCTAATTCCCCTTAAATGCTTCAAGTCTTATTTTTAGCCCCATTAACATAACTTGGTTGGTCGCACCAGCTTGGCCATTTGTCTAGGGATAATCTACAGATGTGAAATGTTGCTTGACCTTCAGATCCTGGATCAGTTTCTTCAAATGCTTATCTCTGAATTGTGTTCCATTATCTGTTACGAAAGATTGGGGGATTCCATGCTTATCCTAAATGTTTCTCTTGAAGAACTTCAGTCAGTCGCTTGCAATAATGTTTTGCTAAAGCCTCCTCCTTAACCCACTTCATAAAGTAGTCTACCGTCACAATCAGTAATTTCAACCGTCATAGAGTCGAGAAAAATGACCAAGAATATCTATGCCCCACTCTAAGAAAGACCAAGGTGACATCACCATGTGTAAATTAGATGAGGGAGTGTTGTAAATATCTTTCTACTCTTGACATTGTTCACACTTATTCACATAATATCTGACACCCTGGACCATATATGACCAATAATACCCGACCCTGAGAACTTTCTTAGTTAAAGCCCTAATGCTTAGGTGTTGTCTGATGATCCCCTCATGTACCTCAGTGAGGGTGTATGTTGCTACTTCCTCTTCGAAATATTTTAGCAGAGGGGTTGATAAATACAAAATTCCCATTATCACAGAATATGAGATGACCAATCTTTTCACGATAACAACTCCAGTCGGGTCGATAGACAGCGTACCATGCTCAACATACGCCATGATAGGTAAGATCCAGAAGGGTTGTGAGGCGCCTTCTGTAATCTTCATTGTCATTGTAGGAGTTTCGATGCTTGGACTCATCAGAGTTGTTTGGATGAAAGAATGGTTGACACTAGATGTTCTAGTGCTTGTCAGCTTAAGTAGGATATCCACCTTGGTATTTTGTTATCTAGGGATGAGCAAGATCTCATGAGATCTAAACTTTGCTAATATTTCTCTAGTCAGGTTGACATATTGCTACAATTATGGGTCTTTAATTTGAGCTTCTCTTTTGATTTGCGGCACCACAAAATACAGATATGTTTATATCCAATCTCAACTAGGCTTCATACTCAACATGGTTATTGGTATTGGGAGAACTCAAAACGTAAGGACACTTCAATCACAAAATCAACTTGTAGAGGTGTTCAAACTAATCAATTATATAAATTATCAATATCCATATCTAAATCCATTATTAAAAATCAATTAATTATTAATATAAATTTAACCAAATTCATATTTTCAACATCCATATTCAAAATAAAAAACATTAAATTAGTCCATTTTTTAAAAATAAAAAATATCTTTTAAATGATTTTCTAGATCACAAAAAAAAAAAGGGTCTTACACATTACTTGATAATTTCATTCCAGTACAAATTTGTCTAACAATAAAATAATCATTTAATACAATTTTGTAATAACAAATAATTACTATATTTTATGTAGTCTCATCTAAACGCTTGCTTTAAACTTCAATATCCATTCTTCTTCGAACCCTAATCCCCAATTTCCAAATCACACCCAAACGGCCGCCGCTTATTCCTCCTGCCCCGCCGTCACCGCAACAAACGCTCCGATTACCGTCCCAATCGTCACAAAGCTCTGCTCATAATCGCAGGTACGAGGTGAATTTCAACTCTATAGTACCTTCAACTCTATTGCAGTTTGATGATTTGCTTCATGTTTTATTTTATGATGATCAAAGATATTTACGCATTTGATTTTCTGAATAATTATTGTTGGTGAATTTCTGTCTTGTTAATGTTGGTATAAAAAATAGAATAAACCTTCTTTGTTTTTGATCCATAAGTTGTTGCTTCATAGAATAAAGCTAATGAACATTTCATTGCAAGTAATTTGATTTTCAATTTAATCTTTTTCTCAATTTGTTCATGTGTTGGATTGTTTAGTTATAGATGGTTTACTACGAGAAAGCCATCAATTAGGACTAGGGTTTTCAATTGTGGTTCATCTCCTGTTTGATAGATTATGGGTCCTGTCTATTTACGAGGCTCGGGGATTTTGGCACTACACTTTTTCTTCTGATTGTTGTTATTCATAGGTTTATGAATGTAATAAAATGTGCAGTATTTACATAGATAACATGCTTCCGAGGTTGAGTCAGGGCCAACTAGGATTGAAATACCTATATCAGGTGGAGAAGTAGTCAATTTTGAAAGAAATTATCGTCAACCTTTTTAGACATGAATCTGCCTGATTCAGAAGGGAGGAACTTGCATCATTATCCCAGTTTCGATTCAAACATGGGTTTTATTCACACTCCATATTCTCTGTAGGAAGTTACTAGACTCAAGTAGTTAGAGAGAGAGGGTTGGATGCCATAAAGTATGTAAATAATATATAATTAAATGGAGGAGGGAAAGGGCGTCTTGTCTTTTTGAGAGAAATTGTGTCTTTCATCTTGGGAGGTTGTTAGACCTCTGAAATTGACGGTGTTGTAATCATGGGGATTATCCTTATTCTTGGTAATATAATTTAAGGTTTCCATTAGAACATTTCTGGACTCATCTTTTATTTCATTGGAGCGAGAATCATAAATCATGTTTTAAATAGTATTCATGTGCTTAAATAAGATTGTGTCTGTTTCAAGGATTAAAACTATAATCATGGGAATATTATTACCAGGAGTTTTATTCATATCTTTGCGTTTGGTGAATAATATAATTTTCTAGGAATACAAGATTCCCATCCTATTACATGGGAATGAAAAGTGAGAAAACCATTTGTAAATTAAACTCCCTTGAATAGAAAGTTTCTAGGCATAATTTATAAAAACTTGAAACAAACATGAGAACAAAAAAATTTTGAGGTCACATTCCAGGGAATAAAATTGGAATCCGTGAAACAAACGCCCGCTAAATGTATATTTTGATCACTTGTCATAATTACATGATATCTTATTGATCACTGTGTTAGCCTGGCCACTTGCTTTTGATCACTTGCCATAATTACATGATATCTTATTGATCACTGTGTTAGCCTGGCCACTTGCTTTTGATCACTTGTCATAATTACATGATATCTTATTGATCACCGTGTTAGCCTGGCCGCTTGCTTCAAAATACTACTGCTTCATGTTCTAGTACATTATGAATTTTAGTTGTTGCAAAGCTGTATTTATTGGCGATATTGTCTTTTTTGTTTGTGTTTTTCAGAAACAGGCATAATTACAGTTGTCTTAGGAAGGGAGCGTCGCGCAGGATTACCGATATTATTTTGTTTGATCTGAAACGGTGCATCTAGATTACCAATGGGAAAAAATGACTTTCTCACACCTAAGGCAATTGCCAATCGAATTAAAGCAAAAGGACTGCAGAAGCTTCGATGGTATTGCCAGATGTGCCAGAAGCAGTGTCGTGATGAGAATGGTTTCAAATGCCATTGCATGAGTGAAGGGCACCAGCGTCAAATGCAAATTTTTGGACAAAACCCAACCCGCATAATTGAGGGCTATACCGAAGAATTTGAGACTACTTTTCTTGAGCACATGAAACGCAGCCATCGATTTAGCCGTGTGGCTGCAACTGTAGTGTATAATGAATATATAAATGATAGAAACCATGTTCATATGAACTCCACGGAGTGGGCTACACTTACTGAGTTTGTTAAGTACTTGGGTCGAACAGGAAAATGTAAGGTTGAAGAAACACCCAAGGGATGGTTCATTACATACATAGATAGAGATTCAGAAACCCTTTTCAAGGAGAAGATGAAGAATAAGAGAATCAAGGCAGATTTGGTAGATGAAGAAAAACAAGAGAAGGAGATCCAGAAACAGATTGAAAGGGCTGAGCAATTGATGCAGCTATCTAATCCAGAGTCCGATCAGCCTTCAAAGGTAGAGACTACAAGGGAACTAAACGCCGAAGATGGAATTAAGATAGGATTTTCTCTTGGGTCGTCTGCTAAACCTATAGCCAAGGATAAAGGCGAGACATCGAGGACGGCGTTTGATGAGGTCGATGAAGAGAAATATGAGGAAAAGAATCCTGTTAACAATTTGAAGAGGAAAGAAAGTGGCGGTGGAAAATCAACTTTAGATGAAATGATCAGGGAGGAAGAGAGGAAGAAGGAAAAAATCAACAGGAAGGATTATTGGTTGCATGAGGGAATCGTTGTTAAGGTTATGAGCAAAGTCTTGGCAGAGAAGGGATACTACAAACAAAAAGGTGTTGTGAGGAAAGTGATTGACAAGTATGTAGGGGAAATAGAAATGTTAGAAAGCAAACATGTGCTCAGAGTTGATCAGGAAGAGCTTGAAACTGTGATACCACAGGTTGGGGGACGTGTAAAAATAGTCAACGGGGCTTATCGTGGATCCCTTGCTAGGCTGCTCGGGGTGGATACAGATCGATTTTGCGCAAAGGTGCAGATAGAGAAAGGTGCCTATGATGGTAGGGTGCTTAAAGCCGTGGAATATGAGGACATATGTAAAGTAGCCTAGTGAGTTTGATTGAATGATAATTTTTGTGACTCTGTTAATTTGCAGGAGTTGGAAAGTTTGTTATGTATTATGCAGAAACTCTAGACTCTAGTGTCATCTTTATAACATAAATTAAACCATGAGAATGAACTTTTCTTCTATTGAATACAATTCTTGCTTGGTAATTTAAAATTCTGATTTCTGGCTATAATTATGCCAGAAAAGTGCATAAAAGGCTGGTGACTGCTAGTACCATTGTATCATGTTTGATTGTAATTGTTATTCAGTTTTATTCAGCTATGTGCAAATTGCAAAATACAGTCTGAGCGACTAAAAACACTTTCTTACCTAGCCAATATACAATCTGGTTTGTCATGTAACAAAGTCTCAATTTAACATGTTAATATACAATCTTATATGCAATTGGTAACTTGTGTTGTCACTACCACCAATTAGAACCCGCAATACAACTGGTACCATATAATAATAAGGCAGAACTTTTTGTTTTGGAAAAAGCCAAATGCATTTAGAATTACATCCAGGACAAGAACACATCTGTTAAATTTGATTTCAAAATGACTTAGTTATGTATAATTTAGGTAATACGCATAGCTTAGACAAGTAATAAGCAGAACTTTTGTTATGGAAAAGAAAAAACAAACACTAGCACAGTTTGAAAAAAACGTTTACAGCAAAAGAGCCATTTTCATTTAACAATGAAAGTGATAGTGAAATGTTTGAGTTTATTTGTTAATTCATAATTCTTAATTCTTGGTACAGAATTTGATTGGTAATTCTTAAGAAGAAGTTTAGATATATTAATCAATGTATAGCAAAGCAAAGGTTCTTCTTAATTTCTTCACTAAACTTATATGAACGTATTAATTTTATTGGTGTAGCAATAATCAATAAAAATGAAACCTTGTTGGTTTAACTATGCATGTGTCAAAAAACATTGTAGTAGAAAATGTCAGAACTTAGGAATAATCGTATAACATCACACGAAATAGTTTTGAATTTTTAAATGAATTTGATTTAATAAGAATTTTAATACTTTAAAAAGTAGTTGAACTAAATTGAAAATTTTATAGATTCAACACATGCATGTCTTAAGACTATATTTACTAAAATATTTTTTATAGGTTATTGAGTTTGAAATGATCTATTACTCAAGTAATTTCGAGCTTAACTAGATTAGTTTGGTTTGTCTCACACAATATAAAAAATTGAAGCCAAACTATTTGGATTGGATATAGGATTTATCGACTCAATATGTAATAATTAGGAACAAAAGAGGGATATTTGACATTTTTGCCTAACTGTGGTAATGTCCAAGATGTGGCATCTTTGCAGAATGGTAATATCCAAATTGGAGTATCTATGTTGTTTGGTTTGAAAGGGGAAGACTTTTCAAAAATGTAAATAATAGGGAGATTTCATATATATATATATATATATATATATATATATATATATATATATATATATATATATATATATATATATATATATATATATATATATATATATATATATATATATATATATATATATATATATATATATATATATATATATATATATATATATATATATATATATATATATATATATATATAAAATAATTTTAAATATAAATGGAGTGTGGGTCATTTGTCACACCCTTTGTGGGAATATTGAGTATGTTCGAAGATACATTTTCAAAATATAAAAAAACAAATGCAATTTTATTGGTCTAGTCTTGACTTTTTCAGCAAGTTTTGTATTTTTAGAAACCAAAAAAGATGATAACTCTACACGGATTTTGGAAGTCTGCAAGACTACGTTGAATGACCAAGAAAATATGTCAATGGTCATTATAATTGATTGCGATACCGCACTGATGAATTCAGTTGCAAAGGTGTTTCCTACATCCTATGCATTACTTTGTAGGTATCACATAACGAAGAGATATGCCAAAAAAATTTAAACCTGCAGTAGGGGTCAAACAAATCAAAGGTGAATATGGGAAAATGGTCAAAACTGGTGTGATATCGGAAAAAATAATGGATAACAGTAATGGTGTTATAAATTCTTCCACGAAATAGTTATATGCAGAATGTGTCATACAGTTCAAGAGGGTATGTGCAAGATATTCAGATTTCTTAAAATATGTTGAGAGCACAATTTTAGACCAGGTGAATGAGAAGATTATATATGTTTGGATTGATCAAGTTATACATTTTAGCAATTCAACAACTAACAGAGTTGAATCTGCACATGTTATACTGAAGAATTGATTGGGAAACAATAAAGGTGATTTTTGTAGAGTTTGGAACTCCGTGAAAATGATCTGAAATCAACTTAATAAGATAAAAATATCTTTTAGTCAGAGCATTATTGTATTAGAATATTGATTTAAAAACAATGTCCTTTATTCACAATTGGTTGGTAACATATCTCAGGAGAGATTGAATTTTATTTATCACAATGCCAATCAAGCAGAGAAAATAAGATCATATGGTTCAAAGTGTGAGTGTATACTTAGGAAGACGTACGGTATTCCATGTGCTTGTTTAATTGCAAGTAAAATTAAGGTCAATACACTGATACGTATGGATGAGATTTACTCACTATAAAAGGCTTCGATTTGATGATGATGGTGTGATGAATGATGATAAATCAAACATATCTATCATGACTAAGTGGGAGGTGATCCAAGAGAGATTCATGAAAGCTTATGACAACAAGAAATTGCACATCAAAGAGCAGTTGAAAAAGATTTCCTAACCTGAAATCACGAATTTGAAACCACTCTCAGAACCGGTTAAAACAAAGGGTGCTCCTAAAAAGGTCTAAACGACCGAGAGTGACAATTCTATAATATGGTCTCCTTCTTACTTTGAACATATTGACTCACATTTTATGGATTGTTCAACTCCTAAATCTAAAAAATTATTTTCAAGGGTTATCACATTAGAAAACCATTTTCCCCACCATTGTTACCACAAATCATCCACATTGAAGAGATGTCGCTTTTTATGCATAAATATATTGAGCGAATTGTAGATGTTAAAGGTGACAAAAAATATGTTTTTTGAGCTATTTTGGAATTGCTCGGTAAAGAAGAGAAGAACCACCAATTTTTTGTCACCTTATACAAGATTTAACGAAGCACGGAGAATCATACACATCTATATACGAGGAAAAAGAAAATTACGATGCAATTTTCAATGCTCTTGTTCCTTCAGACTTTATGCCTTAAGAAACAAGCCCATTGAGCCTCTAAGTGAAGAAGCTCTCAAGTCAGTTTCAAATTAAAGGCTTGGTTGAGCTTTGAATGACTTCTAAGACCAAGCCTACCTTCTAAGATAAGATAAGATATCACACTTTGGCCCATGAGACCGTGACCAACTTCCTAGAATTGATATCACCACTCCACAAAAAATTTCTCTACTTCTTTGATAAGACCAATAAGCTATAAGTAAATAAGGTTACTATGAAGGGCCATGCTATGAATAACACTCTTCAACAATTGAACTCTGTTTGTAATGGAGAGTATGGAAGCTTTCCAATAAGAGAGCTTAACCTTGATCTTATCATCAATAGGCCTTAAATGACAAAATTTTGGTTTGCCTTTGAAAATGGGAACACCTAAGTAGGTAAAAGGCAAAGTGTCAACGCTGAAGCCCAACCTATCAACAATACCTTGAGGCCTTTGGGGAGAGATGGAACCATCAACAATAAATGACTTGAAAGGATTTAAGGAAGGACCAGAAGCATTTATATATCAATGGAAGAGATAAATCAAGTCCTTAATATTGGAATAAGTGTCTTTGTAGAAAATTATAACAACATCTGCATGGAGAGTGTGGAAAAGTAAAGTCGTATTTCTATGACTTGCAATTAAGTTCAACTTGCTTTGTTCCACAAACTTAGAGATACCTCTACTAGACACCTCCTTAGCTAGAAAAAAAACAGAGGGGATAAGAGGTCCCCCTACCTTAGTCCCATTTGTAATTAAAAGTAACCATGTTTCTCTCCATTGATGGAAATAGAGATCCCTAGAATGGAGAATGGTTTCAATCCAATAACAAAATCAAGAGCCAAATCTAAAGCTTTAAGCACTTTTAGGAGGAAAGACCGTCCTAAAGTGTCAAAAGCACTTTTAGGAGGATTTCCCATGAATCAAATTAGAGGCTTCAAAAACAAGGTAAATACTGTCTGTGATGAGTCTCCCACGAACAAATCCTTTTTGCTTCTTAAAAATTTATTTAACTACACTTTGTTTTATTTTACTAATTAAGTTGTAAATTAATTAATTTAGGGCTTATTACTATAAAACATTTTACTAAATAAAACACCAAAATATTTTTTTAACAAGTAGTTTCTTTTTAAAATTAAAATTAATTTAGACTTAGGTTTTTTTTAGGTTAACTAAATTACTTTTCCTTTTAATTAATTAAATTAATTGACTTTTTTCATTTATTATTTAATTTAATTTAATTTCTTTAGGTTTTTATGAAACTTTTTTTATTGGAAATTAATCAAATAATTAGGTTAATCATCAAACTTTTTTTCCATCAAAAAATCACAAAAAACAATTTTCTTTCTCTTTTCTTTATTTTACAAATCTTCGCGTATTTTATTTCTCAATTATTGTAACTGCTCAATGGTCTGTAATAGCTTTAATTAGGGTTTAATGATTTTCATCCCCAATCATAAATTTGTACTCTCACTCCCGAAGCATTGTAATAGCATATGATATTTAATTTCTGCAATTTACTGGTTTCCTTATTACTGTTAGTAATTAAAGTTTGTATGGTAAGATTAAAATTAAATGTTAGATAACCTAATCTCAAAGACAAATACTTGAAATCAAAACACTTCGCACACACGCACCTCTAGGGTTACCCTCACTTGTTGCCTCAAATTTAAACAGTCATGTCCCTCGAACATGAGATGCTTTAGCAAAGACCCTCTATTAAAAGATTGTAGTCCCTCGATGACCCTTTGATGCTGCCTTCGGTAAATGATCTTAG